GCCATTACAAAGGTGCTTTACACACACTTCATGCAAATCTCATCACAAACCCATCAGCTAGGTATTATTATTATCCACGTTACAGGTGAGGAAAACACAAAAAGATAAGTAAATTGCCCAAGTGATCCTGAATAGTCCCTAATACCGCAATTCCCAGACCGTGTGCCAACGTACTCCAAGTTGCCACACGGAGGTTCCGCAGAATATTTGAAAATTTTCAGGAGCGGTTAAAATACTCGACATCTGACATCTATGTGAACTAGCTCAAGGCAGTTCACTGTTTCTACAGTAGGTGGCGCTGCATTCCTTTCAATGACTTATTTCGGCAAAACTGGACATTCCACCTGAAGTCGGTGTGGAGCAGGAATTGAGGGTAGTGTTCAATTTGATTCCAAAGATAGAGAAGTAATGCAATACCCAAGTCACAGTATCTCATCAGTGATCGTGGTAATCTAAGAATTAATTAAAATATTTTTGCTTTTAATTTATGTGTATTATTTTTTTCAAAAGTCTATGTTGTTAGGATATAAATATTTAATAAGCTGTTTGGAGCTGACTACTTAATAAAGGAAATTTATGGCATTAAAAAAAAGGCACTGGTTGGTGTCACCTGCCAGCCGCCGGCTCCTGCGCCTGCTCTTCGGCTCCCTGCCCGCTCCAACCAACCATGCTCTCCGCCCTCGCCCGCCCTGCCGGCGCCGCTCTCCGCCGCAGCTTCAGCACCTCGGCCCAGAACAATGCTAAAGTAGCTGTGCTTGGGGCTTCCGGAGGAACTGGGCAGCCCCTTGCGCTGCTTCTCAAGAACAGCCCCTTAGTGAGCCGCCTGACCCTCTACGATATTGCTCATACACCCGGAGTGGCCGCAGATGTGAGCCACATCGAGACCAGAGCAACCGTGAAAGGCTACCTCGGACCTGAGCAGCTACCGGATTGCCTCAAAGGCTGCGATGTGGTGGTTATTCCAGCCGGAGTCCCAAGAAAACCAGGCATGACACGGGATGACCTGTTCAACACCAATGCCTCAATTGTGGCCACCCTGACTGCTGCCTGCGCCCAGCATTGCCCTGAGGCCATGATCTGCGTCATTTCAAATCCGGTCAACTCCACCATCCCAATTGCAACGGAGGTTTTCAAGAAACACGGAGCTTACAACCCCAATAAAATCTTCGGGGTGACGACCCTGGACATTGTCAGGGCCAACACTTTCATTGCAGAACTAAAGGGTTTGGATCCCGCGCGAGTCAATGTTCCTGTCATTGGCGGTCATGCTGGGAAGACCATCATCCCCCTGATCTCTCAGTGCACACCCAAGGTGGACCTTCCCCAGGACCAGCTGACAGCCATCACTGGGCGGATTCAGGAGGCCGGCACGGAGGTGGTGAAGGCCAAAGCTGGAGCAGGCTCTGCCACCCTGTCCATGGCATACACTGGAGCTCGGTTTGTCTTCTCCCTTGTGGATGCAATGAATGGGAAGGAAGGAGTTGTCGAATGTTCCTTTGTTAAATCCCAGGAAGCAGACTGTGCCTATTTCTCCACACCATTACTGCTGGGGAAAAAGGGCATCGAGAAGAATCTAGGCATTGGCAAGATCTCCCCTTTTGAAGAAAAGATGATAGCAGAAGCCATCCCCGAGCTGAAGGCCTCCATCAAAAAGGGAGAGGAGTTTGTGAAGAACATGAAATGAAAGGGCAGCCAGCTAGCAGTCCGTTTCCCTAACTTATGAAGGCGTCATGTCCCTGCAAAGCCATCTCCTGTCCTCATGTTTCCGTTGCGTTAACCAGCAGTGTCATGTTAACGTCACCGCCCCTTCCAATCGCAAGTCCGTCAGTGTGTGCATCAATAAAAGCATGCTTCCGTTTTCTTTAAAAAAAAAAAAAAAAAGGCACTGATGCATTAAGGTCTCCACACCAATGCCCGGGTCACACAGTAAAAGTCAGACTGGAATTTGGTCAGTCTGACCCCAGGGCCTGAAGGCTTAACCTTTCTTAACCGGGTTCAATCAGTGCTTTACCTCTGTGTCCTGACCTAGATGGCCAAACCATTGAGTTAGGAGTCAACCTGGAAATAATGGAGCAGACATAAATTGAACATTACTATGAAGATCACAAATTGTTTCCGTGTCCCTCGGCACCCTACAAAACATCTGTGAGCCTCAGTTTCCTCAACTGCAAAATGGGGATAGCCAAAATCTACAGTACAGAGTTATAGGATTAAACAAGGTAAAAATCATAAAGCATCTGGCATATTGTATGTGTTTCCTTTTTCCCGTTCTTCCCTCCTCATTTCTGTGACTGAACTGAAAGCACAGGGACACCATGTCCACAGCGGTATGAAGCACACGTGTGCATGCACACGCACACACCCTCTAACCATCTGTCTACACCCAATCCTCAACCTCAAACACATTATTTATATATTCATACTTGTAATCACAGCGTCTTGGCTGATTAAATCAGCACAAAAAAACCTGACAGAACAAAACAATGTAGCAGTTAAGTTCTTAAACTCACTCTTTTTTTTTTAAGATTTTATTTATTTATATATTCATGAGAGACATGGAGAGAGAGGCAGAGACAGGGGCAGAGGGAGAAGCAGGCTCCCTGTGGGGAGCCAGATGCAGGACTCCATCCCAGGACCCGGGGATCTCACCCTGAGCCGAAGGCAAATGCTCAACCCCTGAGCCACCCAGGCAGCCCAAAGTTGCCCCTCTTTCCCCACATAACCTTCACGGTTAGCAGCTGCCATGTAGAGATCGTCTGCCAGAGCTCCGGTATGGTTCGGACTCAGCAGACCCAACCCCACTCCCCTTTGGCCCTTGCACCCATCACAGCACCCATCACACCACGGTACGTGACGCCACTGGACCAAAGGGCTGCTCAGGACTCTAGGGTCCTCCGCTTCATCTCAACACACAAAAACACCCCAACCTTTGGTTCTTAGCAGCATCGGTTGTAGAACAGATGACCGCCTTTCCCAGGTGTTATTTGCAGGAGGAAACCCTCACCAGACATGATGCCTGAGCCTTCAACTTTAGATATTGTTTCTTTGGGCTTGAAGTCTTTTATAAAACGGACGTCTCTCTCTGCCAGAGGTAGATTTATGTCTCACCTGGCAGGTGGCTCCACTTCAGGTCAACTTCCAAGGAGGAAGTGGATGGAGAATCAGTGTGTTTAATGCATTCATCTCATAAATATCTAGTGAGCATTGACAATGTGCTAGGCACAGGGGCATGAACAGAGTAAGATGCAATCACCGGCCTCAAGGCTTGTGGTCTGATGAAGGGCACAGGCTGGGAAACTGGTAATTCCAATCCCACGTGACGTCTGCGAGCACAGGAAGGCAGTGTCAGTATATGGGAGCACAGAAGAGGGGCACATAATCCAGACCTCCTGGAAGAGTCCTAGCCTGACACTGAAAGGACGGGAAGGAGTGAGGTGAGTGAAAGTTGGGTGGGGGGGCTCCAGGGAAAACAGGGTGCCACAGGTAAGGGTCTGGGATGCAAAAGCATGGTGGATGGAAATCAGGTGCACCTCACAATTGTGCAAAGGATTGGGACATGGTTATGACAACTTCTCAGTCTTTTTGAGTCTAAAACTTTGCCATTTTTTTTGTTTGTTTAACCACTATTTACTGAGCTCCTACCACATGTAAGGACTCTTCACTGATGTAGGGCCTGTGTGTGTGAGGGGACCTGCACACCAATACAGTGTGAGCCCCACTTCATCCTTCCTCTCTTGCCACATCCAGACACTCACTACCTTCTTCTTTTGTTTTTTTTTTTTAAGACTTTATTTATTTATTCATGAGAGACGCACAGAGAGAGGTAGAGGCACAGGCAGAGGGAGAAGCAGGCTCCCCATTGGGGGCCTGATGTGGGACTCGATCCCAGAACCCTGGAATCATGACCTGAGCCAAAGACAGATGCTCAACTGCTGAGCCACCCAGATACCTCACACCCACTACCTTCTTAAGACTCTTGTGATCCCAGGCTAGTGTCTTGTTTATTTTTTATTTTTTTAAAGATTTATTTATTTATTCAGAGAGAGAGAGAGAGAGAGAGAGAGAGAGAGAGAGAGAGAGGCAGAGACACAGGCAGAGGGAGAAGCAGGCTCCATGCCGGGAGTCTGACGTGGGACTCCATCCCAGGTCTCCAAGATCACGCCCTGGACCACAGCTGGTGCTAAACCTCTGCGCCACCGGGGCTGCCCTAGTGTCCTGTTTAAATGGCAGGCCTGATTTGAGTCTCGGTTCTCATGCATCCTAGCTCTAGTCATGCCTTGGATTCTAGCAGCCCTAGTGAGAAATTTCCAGAATTAGGCAGAGCTTACATTAACCCTTCAGCCTCCAGGGGTCGTGGGTCAGAAGTGAGGTGACATAGCAAGGTGGTACTGCACCCATTCTGAGTTTGAGGGCCCTGGAGACATCTCATTGCTCCATCAGAAACTTAAGCATAGGGAATGGTGGCAAAGATACTATTTACTTTTTAGCTAAGAGTTGAACACCAGAATTCTGGCCATAGCTAAGAAGATGATTTGGCTTATTCTATTTAAACCACTGGAGCTCCAGGTTGTGCAAGACAAGAGGTTGGGGTGGGTGGTGCTAGGACAGCCAATCTCCACATGCTAGCACAGAGTGCATTCTGGTCATGATGTCCCAGGCCCATCCTGATGCCCAACCCATCCCGACTCTGGGACTCTGAGTTACCTAATACCTAAAATACCAACCTCACTACTTTTGTAAAACACCAACCTCATCATCTTAAAAAATTAGTAGAAGCAAACACCAGTGAGGATAGAAATGGCCTCCAAGCAGACACTGCTTCTGAGAAGCTACTGGCTTCCAGCTGGCTGCTCAGCCCTTGACCTGCTTGTGACTAGGGCAGGACCTATGCTCTTCCCAGCTTTTGGGAAAGACCCAGTCACTCGGACCCTCCCTGCCCAGCCCAGGTTTGCTGACCTCATGGGTGCAGGTGGAGGCTTAGGTGACCCGGGACCTTTCACCTCCTTCCGCCCACTCACTTCCCTGCCGCAGCTCGGTCCCTGGAGCGCAGGCAGGCACCTGTCACACAAAGGCGGACTCCTCAGGTTAGGGGAAGGGGGCCACCCTGCGGGGCTTTAAATGCCGCCCGGCTTCTCCTCGGAGGCCGAGGCGATGTGTGGCCATCCTGGGGAAGGCGGAGCAGCTGCCTCACCGAGTTCGGGGACCGCGGGACTGCCCGGGACAGGCGCGGGCTAAGAAGCGGTGGCGTCCGAGGTGACTGGGAGTCGTCGGCACCCAAAGCCCCCCAGGGCCGCCTGCCAGCCTCGCTGCGGGGAAAGCGGGGACTCGGGCTCGCGCCTCTGCCTGCCTGGACGTGGGTCTGCTCCCGGGGGCGCAGCAAGTCCGAACGCCTCGCTGAGACTTCCCTTGCCTCCAGGCGCCGGCATCCGCGAGGGACACGCTCCCCCTCCGGACTTCCCCGAAGAGCAGCCCCGCAGCTCGGAGGAGGGCGGAGAAGGCGCCGCCCCCCACCGCCGGGCGCTCTCGGGAAACCCCGGGAAGGATGCACGGACCCCGGGCGTCACGGAGAGGCACGTGAATAGCTGAGAGCGCGATTCCTAACTGGAGGTGAGTCCCTATCTTGCCATTTTCGAGCGGTGTTACCGCACATGAGGGTCGTTTCTCAGAAGCCAGCGTCCTCGAACGAAAAACGTAGGATTACCATTGCACCTGCTTCTTAGGATGGCTGTGAAGAGAGATCGCCTAGCTCCCTGCCTGGCACGTGATTGCAACTCAGTATATGGTTGTAAATGTGACTTTCAGGAGACAATACTGTACCCCAAAGGGTGGAGATTTCATGCATAAGGGAAAATACATTTGGGCAGAGGGGTTTTGTATCACCACCCAAATCACATGGAACAGAGGAGGCGTGCTTCCCACCAACCACTCTGGTTTCCCTTCTGAATTAAGCCGTCCTAATGAAAGGCAAGCTGGACACAGAGTGCCTCCTGAAACTCTTACAACATGGCTTAATGGATTCTCCCATCTGTACGCGTCCCTCTACACACAAGGTTTCAGCCCAGCCCCCCAGAGCCCTAGGCCAGGAGGCAACATGGATGTCTCCCTCTTGGCTTCATATAAGTGAAATCTATTGGTTTTTTATCTTCTCAATCATGGAGTATAGATTTTTCCCTTCCCCTTTGTCCTTGTTGCCCTTGTCCAAAGTAGAGCCAGTTTCTGGAGGCACCAAAAATCTCAGCTGAGTCTGAAAAGACGAAAAAAGTTTCCCCAGATAAAGAAAGAACAGGTCATTTTTTTTCTTTTAAAAAATTTTAAATTCAATTAATTAATATGTAGTGTATTAGTTTCAGAGATAGAATTCAGTGATTTATCAGTCTTAAGTTACACCCAGAGCTCATTACATCACCCAGACACCCCATCCTCCCACCCGGCCCCTCCAGCAACCCTCAGTTTGTTTCCTATGATTAAGAGTCTCTTATGATTTCTCTCTCTCTGATTTTGTCTTGTTTTTTTTTTCCTCCCCTTCCCCTATGCTCCTCTATCTTGTTTCTTAAATTCCACATACGAGTGGGATCATATGATAGGTGTCTTTCTCTGACTGACGTATTTCACTTAGCATAACACCCTCTAGCTCCATCCATGTCATTACAAATGGCAAATTTTCTTTTCCTTTTTTTTCCTTTTTGGTGGCTGAGTAATATTCCATGTATATATACCACATCTTCTTTACCCATTTTTCTGTCGATGGACATCTGGGCTTTCCATTGTTTGGCTTTTGTAGACTTTGCTGCTATAAACATTGGGGTGCAGGTGCCCCTTCGGTTACTGCATTTGTATCTTTGGAGTAAATAAGAACAGGTCATTTCAAGTATTAAGAAGAGCACAGGCAAAGGCCAGAGGCTTCACAAGACGTGTTGTTTGAAACAGTATGCAGATCTGTGTGAAGGAACCCAGGTCCCAGCTGAGGCATGATGGCCTAATGGCTCAGCACATGAACACCTGGGCTGAACAGCCTGGTTTGAATTCCAGCTCCATCTTTCAATAGCAAATTACTTAATTTCTCTGTGCCTTAGTTTCTCACCTATAAAATAGGATTGTAACAACACTGAGCTCCTCAGGTGGTTGGCAAGATTAAACAAATTGATACATGGAGAGAACTTAGAACAACAGTGGTATATAACAAGTGCTCCATGCGTGTTAGGTAATACTTCATAATTCATATGTGGGCTTTGGTCCCCCCTTTTTTTCCATCATTCAACCCCAAGTACATGTTTTACTTTGATTAGTCGGAAATGACTATCTGTTACATACTACCCCAATGTACCTTATTGCTCTGTAGCAGTGTTTTAACAAACTCATTCTCCAACACTGGCCTGAGGACTGGTAGGATTAATAGAGAAATTTACTGCAGAAAACCAAGGAGTTGTCTTGTGACACAATGACTCACTTATACATTCAGTGTTAGTCAGCAAGTATTTATTGGGCACTTACTAAGTGCCAGGTACTATGCTTCCCGTACCTTCCTCTAGGGCACCACATAGGAGAGTTTGATGGAAGGGGATTGATTTTAGGGTCTCAGAAAGACCAGCCTTTTTCTCTAATCTTGCTCCTGCTGACTACTCAAAAGATTTAGCACAGATTTCACTTTTTCAAACCCTTCTTAAGGGTGATGCATTCTAGTTGGGTCAATGTTCTAGGTTACCCATACATCTAACATTTAACATCTAACAGTAATAGGAATTCCACTGTCTGATGAACTCATCTTCTGAAGCACATGTCTAAAGTCTTCAGTGGGGCTGTGAACACTAGAAATCTTGTGTTTATTTGTGCATTTTCCCCCCTGGGAGTTCTATTTCAGGCAATATAAGAACTAGGTACTAAGACGATCTTCCAGATGCAAAACACCAAAGATATAAACGTTCTTTTAAGTGCATAGGAGAGCTTGAAGGAAAAGAAAAGAAAGAGAAATCTACTGAGGCAGAAGACAAATATACAGGGACACCTGGGTGGCTCAGTGGTTGAGAATCTGCTTTTGGCTGGGGGTGTGGTCCGGGGGTTATGGGATCCATTCCCGCATCCGCCTCCTTGAGGGGAGTCTGCTTCTCTCTCGGACCATGCCTCTGCCTCTCTCTGTATCTCTCATGAATAAATAAATACAATTTTTTTTAAAAGAAGACAAATATACAGAGCAAAGAATAGAGAAATCTGAAAAATAGAGTTATTTTAAGTGGACCAAGAAGTGGGAGCTGTCCTGTGGGAGTTGGCTAATCTCAATAACCAAAACCTGGCAAAGAGTTGGCATCCTCTGGGCTGTGCTCTCAAGGAAGGGTGGGCCAGGAGAAATCTGGCCATTAGCAAAGGGAGGGATCAGAGTTATGTACTTATCTCTATGTGCATTTCAGACATGAAAAAGGTTTTCCTGTGGGAATTTTTGATCATGTGTTTCAGATGAATTTGAGAATAAAATGTATATTATGTCTGGTCTGGGAAAACATAAGACAAAACATTAACAAAAATTCAGAATCAGTGGTGGTTCTTTTTCTATTTTTTTAAGATTTTATTTATTTGACAGAGCGTTGCACATGTGCACTTGAGCATGCCCTAGTGAGCCAGGGGCAGAGAAAGAATCTTCAAGCAGACTCCTGGGTAAGTGAGGAGCCCCTCACCGGGCTTGATTTCAGGACCTATGAGGTAATGACCTGAGCTGAAACCAAGAGTCAGACGTTTGACCTCATAACCTGAGCTGAAGCCAAGGGTTGCATGATTAACAGCTTCACCAACTAAGCCACCTGGGTGCCCCACAATTAGTAATTCTTTAAAGAAGCTTTTCGAAAAGCTTCTCTGGAGGAGCCACCCCTCACTCCAGGTTCCATAGGATTCCCTCAAAAAAAGTTTGGACAAGTAAAGCTCAAATACAAAACAAAACAAAACAGAGAAAAAAATCCTCTGTGAACAAATATCATCATACTCAGTAAACAGCTATGTAAGATCCTTCCCATCCTCTGATAATGGAATTATTAGGTACAGACTAAAAAAGAAGAATGTTTTAAATGTTTGGAGGAAAACAAGAACTTGAAAACCTGAGAAAAGGATCATAGGCTCTCAAAAAAGTTAAAGGAGATTTGAAAAGCAAGTCAAATTGAACATGGAGAGATGAAAGCCTTAATAATCAAAATTTAAAACTACATAAGCAAGTTAAACCACAGATTAGATAGAATGGAAGACAAAACTAGTGAACTGAAAAAAAAAACTTAAAAATTACACAGAATGCAGCAGAGCTGGACAAAAGATTGAAAACATGAAGGAAAAGTTAAGAGACATGGTGACCAGAATGACTAATGCCAGGGCTAACATTTGTGGAACTGGTGTTCTATAAGGAGAAAATAGAATAAAATGAGGAAATACTCTTAGAGACAGTGGCTGAGAATTGTCCAGAAGCAACAAATGACAGGAGTCCTCATTTTCTATCATTAATATAAGCTGGATGACAAAGGAATAATATTATAAATGTCTAAGAACAAATAACTAGCAAACTAAAATTTATACTTAGCCAAACTAGAATTTAAAAGTGAGAGCACTCTCCCACATATACATTTTAAAAAATGAAAACAAAAGTGAGAGCACCCATGGAATAAGAGAAAGCATTTGCAAACCATGTATCTGATAGGGGACTTATATCCAAAACATGTAAGAACTCTTACAACTTAACAACAAAAAAGACAATCCAATTTAGAGATTGACTAAAGGAGTGGAAAGACATTTCTCCAGAGAAGATATATAAGTAGCCAATATACATATGAAAAGATGTCCAGTATCATTAGTCATTAGGGCTTGAGACTTTTTGTTTGTTTTACTGTGAAGGTACAATTCACACACAGTAAAATCCACCCATTTAGAGTATATATATAGTAACTGGGTCATATAGTAATTCCATGTGCAACTTCTGGAGGAAGCAGCACACTTTTTTTTTCCCCAAACGGCAACATCATTTACATCCACAGCCCCATTTCTAAGGTTCCAATTTCTCTACATCCTTGTCAACACTTGTTAACCTGTATTGTTTTGTTTTGTTTTATTATTGCCTCTGCGTCTGAAGGTCTATGGGGAGTGGCATTAAATTTTCCTTTTATTTGAGACGCCTGGGCGGCTCAGCGGTTGAGCATCTGCCTTCGGCTCAGTGCATGATCCTGGGATCCGGGATTGAGTCCCACATCGGGATTCTTGCAGGGAGCCTGCTTCTGTCTCTGCCTCTCTCTCTCTCTATCTCTCTCTGTGTCTCTCATGAATAAATAAATAAAATCTTAACAAAAAATTTTTTTGCTTTTATTTTATTTGTATTGCAGGCTCTATGATCTTTATATGGGTTTTATAGAGTTGGAAAACAAACGACTTTGCTCTCTGTTCACCCTTCAGAATTAGGAAATCAGCCGTATTGCCACTAAAAAGCTCCCCAGGACTATTTTCAGTATTTCAAAAATCCTGATATAACCCATACACTCCCTTTCATTAGGGTTCCTAGGCGAACTGAAATGTCAAGTGGTTTGATTTTGACTAGAATTGTTTAAGCTGTTGAAGAATAGAGAATGCACACTCTTCGGGTTGTAACATCACCAAAGAGCACAAACCTGGCATATAGTAAATGTTGAAGTGAACGAACGTATTATTATTAGTTCTCACTTATTAATCAGAACCTCTAATTGGTAAATTGTTGGGGGATCAACAAAATTGAAACATGGATTTATGGATGAGGCTAGAGTCCTTAAGTGTCAGAAGTGTGGGAACACTACCCTACCTTTCGGGAACCCAGATGTATGGCCTGTCCCCAGAGTTGCTCCTTGGGTAAGACTGATGGGAAAGCTCCTCTTTGCCTTTGCTTTCCCCTAGACCTCTGTTCTCCATGCACCCTTGATCTGGCCCCAGAGATGCTCAACCTCTAGATGCCTAGTGTCCCATAGCACTAATCCTTCTCCCCCTACCACGCTGCCTTGTTCCCCCTCCCCTCCCCATGATCTAACATGGCTTTCTGGTGTCCTAAAATGAGTTAATCTGACATTCCTGCAGATGTATAAATGGTATTGATTTGTGTTAGAATCCTTTTCATCCCCTGTCTACATACCACTCCACCTCATCTGTATGATTTTCCTAGGGCCACCATAACAAAATACCACTAAAATAACAGGTATTTATTCTCTCACAGTTCTGGAGGCCAGAAGTCCAAAGGTAGCAGAAGAGCTGTGCTCCCTCTGAAGTCTCTGGAGTAGAATTCTTCCTTGCTTCTTCCAGCATCTGGTAACCCATGCATTCCTGGACTTGTGACAGCCTAATCCAATCTCTGTCCCTGTCTTCATATGGCCCTCTTCACTCTGTCTGTGTCCAGATTTTCCACTTCACAGAAGGACACCAGTCATTTTCCAAACATGTATTGTGTTCTTCAGTGGAATGAGAAATAAGTTAATTTTTTGCCCTCAAAGAACTTATAGTCTGAGATTGTCCTTGATTTAAAGTGACTTTCTCAACAAGGCAGTGCAAGAAGGGATGCGAGGCTGTGTGTATGATTAAGGCTATCTGCAAAATTCAGCCTTGTTGGATTGAGTATGAGTGTGAGGAGCTGAATCCGGGTATCAGATCTCTGGAGGTGGAATGGGGCAAGAACCGTGTTTGTCTTGTTCATTGTTTCATCCTCAGCACCCAAATACAGCCAGCCTCTGCCACATAACATAAGGAGAATAATAACAGTGGTGATAATAATAATAAAATATAACCAACATCTATTGAGCGCGTCAGTACAAACACTGCCAAAACCTTTGTCTACATAATGTCATTTAATCTTCAAAATGATCTTATGGGGAGGGGTATCGTCACTCCCACTGAGAGATAATTAATGAGAGAACTGGGCCCCAGGGAGATTAAGTAGCTTATCCAAAGTGACACTGTCAATAAGTAGTGGAGTTGAGCTTCAACTCAGGTTCCATTGACCTGATGGCTGCTGCTCTTAACCCAGAAATACCAACACAAGAAATCCAGTCCCAGGGCTCTAACTCCTCCCATAGGGACAGTGGGGATAGCGAGCCCATGGACTTAGTGATGTTCACCTTTGAGATCCCCTAGCCAGCTCTGATTCTACCACCTTCAGCTACTTTCTGTTGTGTTTGGGTCCCCAAGTGGACATTTATACATAACAAAGTACTCATTGACCATTCAGCACAGCACCTGGAGGATTTATTCCTCATTGTGATCTAATAAATGGAAGTTAATAAGTTGTTGATAGGTCAATTTCATGTGAATTTTATTTGCAGTGAGTTATTATATTAACCATATATTATACATTTTAAATTCATGTTTACCTTTTTATTACTTATGTGAGCTATATACAAATTTAAGTGATAAGGCCCAGAGCCTTATAACCCAAAAGTATGACTATACTATCAAGCTTCTAGGCCTGTAAGTTGAACAATCGGAGGGTAGGAGGGAGGAAGGATCCTAAAGGCAAATAGTCCAGCCTCCAAAATGTCTTGCTCAGTGCTTATTCCTAGAGACACATAATAAATAGTTGTGGAATAAATGAATGTTAATACGGCTGAGGAAAATAGAGGTGCCTGGGTGGCTATGTTGGTTAAGCATCTGCCTTCGGCTCAGGTCATGATCCTGAGGTCCTGAGATCAAGCCCCACATCAGGCTCCCTGCTCGGTAGGGAATCTGCTTCTCCCTCTCCTGCTCCACTGCTTGGGCTCTCTCTCTCTTTCTCTCTCTGTCAAATAAATAAATAAAGTCTTTTCTTTTTTTTAAAAAAAAAGAGGAAAATAGTCATAAAATTAAAAGCAAATAGGGAAATATTTTTTCATAAATACAATAGATAAGGTCTCAACTTAATACAGCAAGAACTTGGAAAACTGATAAGAGGAACAGAAACTTATTTTAAGTTTTATTTATTTAAGTCATCTCTATACCCAATGTAGGGCTTGAACTTCCAACCCCAAAATCTAGTAGCATGCTCTTCTGACTGAGCTAGCTGGTGCCCCAACAAGATATCTTTAATAGAAAAATGGCATTGTCAAATACATGCCCTTTCTGGAAATCAGCATATAAATTTATAAGAAAGCATGGGGACCACATGAGGATAAGTGAACCACAGTTATGTGAGAAAGGGGACTTAATCAGAAAATGCAAGAAGCCTAGCAGCAGAGCTGGGTTTGACCTTTATCAGACAAGCAAGAGGGCAGGAGAGGGATTGCTGTGTGTTCTGACAGGATGATCAGATGTCCCAGGTTGGGAAAAGCAGCCAGAAGAATCAGAAGTACATATATCGATGAGCTTCTCGTTGTGGGGTTGGGAATGACTTTACCGGGAAGGGGTTAGAAGGTGAGCCCATCCTCTGGGGAGGAAATCTAGCTCTGATGGTAGACAGTATCCTCCCTGAAGCTAGGACCCCCTCTGTCTTGCCCTGACAGGTCAGAGGAGCCCAACCTCGGGTGTAGGGTTTATTGAAATCTGGGCTCTGATCAGAGTGGTAACTTCTCATTCTGTGGGCATAGGAATATGTCCTTTCCTTGGTCAATCAGGCAATGCAACTCGGGAGCTGAGCAAGGCAATGTTGGTTACTGAGCTTGTTTCCAGACCATTGTCTTGTCTCCAGATTGTGGAATGACTTTGACTTCGTGCCCTTCCCATTGATGATGTCTCTTCCTCAGGGTATAATTTCACAATGCATTCCCTCAATGGGAAAGGGCTGTTCAGGTGTGCTGGCCTCTGGGACCATGGGGAGACTGCTCTCATTGCCTGGCTTGCAAGAGGTAAGGGAACTGGGAACTGCAGGCAGCCCATGTCTATCTATGGGGTGATTCACTAATCCAACCAAAGAACTTGAACTTCCTGGAGTGATGAGCCTAGCACAGTTTCAGGCACACAAAAATAACAATAGTCACATGCCTCTTGACCAAGTGACCTGAACCAGGAGGTTTTGAAAGCCACACACCCACGCACTCTAGGGCAGCAGGAGTTCACATCAACAACGAGAACATCAACTGTCTGAGAGCCATTGCCAGAGTAAAGGTTCCTAAGTGTGCACACACCTGTCCTGATGCACACACCCAGAACACCTGGGCTCTGCATGTCCCATTACACACCAAGCACAATCTTCTGGGTGGCCCTCATTTTGCATGAGTCCCTAAGTTGACGTTTCCTTCACTGTGAAAGATTCTCCACATCCCTTTCTTTTTCTTTTTCCTTGACTTCTTCCTGCTTTGCAGAAGAGGCAGGGGACAACTATAAATTTATTCCAAAGTCAGAGGACAAGAGGCTGCCATGATGCTGTAACAGCACTGAGTTAGAGAATCTAATCTGCTAGAAGGAAAGTTAGAGCATATGGAGCTCAGTCTGTTTGTTTCAACAGAGAGGACCGTAGGCTGGAGAGAGGAAAAGATTTTCCCATTGCTCCGGCTGGGCAGTGGCTGAGCCTCAATTTGATGATATGGGTGGGATGGGCAGAGAAAGTATGAGTTTAGTCTACCTAAAGGATTTAGTGAGCTCAGGGGGCTCAGTGATCTGTATTGCCTGTGTGTGATAAGAGATTGATCAGGGGACCTGAGTGGCTCAGTTAAGCGGCTGCTTTTGGCTCAAGTGATGAACCCGGACTCCCAAGATGGAGTCCCCCTGTTTGGCTCTCTGCTTGGTAGGTAGTCTGCTTCTCCTTCTGCCCCTCCCCTGATCATTCTCCCTTTCTCAAATAAATAAATAAAATCTTTTTTTTAAAAGAGATTGATCAGATAACTACTGAACACCTGGTTTGTACAAGGCACAGATTAAAAAGAATATATTTTGGGGGGTGTTCGGGTGGCTCGGTTAAGTCAGTTAAGCATCAAACTTTCGATATTGGCTCAGGTCTTGATCTCAGGGTCATGAGTTCAAGCCCCTCATTGGGCTCCACACTGGGTATAGAGAATACTTTTTTAAAAAAAGATAATATATTTTTAAATCTTAAAATAACCCTTCCTCTCGAAGTAATTACAATCTAACAGTGAAAATAAATGAATAAGTAAAACGTTTATAATATTTTTTTTCATTTGTAATAATTCTTAAGAACAGTACAGGAGGTTCTCTAGATAGAACATGCTTATCAGCTGAGAGGCAAAACATTGAATGCTATGACATCAGGAACTGATACTTCAGTAAGCAAAAGAACCAGAGTTGGGGGCCTGGGGAGGATCATAGGGCCTAAAGAAAGAGCTGGGAGGGCAGCTCCGATGGCTCAGTGGTTTAGCGCCGCCTTCAGCCTAGGGTCTGATCCTGGAGACCTGGGATCGAGTCCCATATTGGGCTCCCTGCATGGAGCCTGCTTCTCCCTCTGCCTGAGTCTCTGCCTCTGTGTGTGTGTGTGTGTGTGTGTGTGTGTGTGTGTGTGTCTTTCATGAATAAATAAATAAAATCTTAAAAAAAAAAAGAAAAGAAAAGAAAGAGCTGGGAGCCTGACAGACTGGGTGGATTTAGCTGCCTTTCAGGGAGAGGGTCGGGAGGGTTGGGAGGTTGGAGTTGAGTTGGGGGAAGGACTCAGGAGGACCTGGGCCATCACCATTGAGGGGAAAGAAGAGAATTCTGACCAGATTGTCATGCCCGGCAGCAGCTTCTGCCCTTCTTGGCTGGGATGAGAAGCACCAGGGCAACCCCCTTGCCCTCCACTAGCTGACTGGGAACAGAGCTATGCAGTTAGTCAGCTGGCAGCAGAAATGTCTGGGCGTCTGTGTCTGGGGGAAAGGTGTCAGCCTGACAGGAAGACAGAGAATGTACCCGTGTGTACCTATATATGTAAACACAGGGTATGTGTGCATGTAGCCACAAACAGAAGAGGGGATGTAGATGTTGCAATGATGAATGAAAATAGCACAGAAATCGGGAGAAACCCATTGCTTTCCAGGCTTTCACCCCAACTTCCATCTCCCTGATATGACAGCCAGACACCCACCTGCCCCCTCCTGGAGCTCCTGCAGCCACTTGCCAAGAAGCACGAAGCTCTCTCCACTCCATGCCTGGCTGGGTCATGGCTGACCCGGGTGCCCCACTCTCAACACACTGTGAACACCAAGACAGGAAGAAGAAAGGCTTCTCCTAGGTCTTAACATTTAATAATTTTAAGATTCCATGAAGGAAAGAGGGAGAAGAATGTCCACATGTGGATTTATTCCAGTTGTTGGAGGGGCATAACTTAGTAATAACAGAAAGAGAAAACTTTTAAAATATATGTTTTGAGTTAGTTTCCTTTTTATTATTATCTATAGAAATCAGAGGACTAGAGAGACTCAGCCTTTGTTGAGATGGGGAAACAGTTTCTTCACCCTAAATTTTCCTAGGCTTTTTCATTCACATGCTTTCTCAAAATTCATTGAATTTTTCTTCTTACCATATATGCTTATAGTAGAAGATCTGAAACTATAGGAAACTATAAAACTAATTCATAATCTACCACTCACTCATTTTAAGAACTTCCATAGGCCCTAGACATGACTCCAGCCCATTAAAATATACTCATATCCCACATTTAAAGTTATTGAGTGGAGTAAAATTGTCTAGTTGACATAATGTCATATTTGAGGGACCTTTGATTAACTGTTCATTCATTTTAATTTTGCTTTTCAAAAAATTTTGAAGCAATGTATTTTCTCTTCTATATCTCAAATATTTTTGAGAGTCCTTGAAAAGTCTGTAGGCCCCTGGCACTCTTTTGTGACTAATGAATTAAAAGGGCTTGCCCAGTGAAAACTAATGTCAAGGTTAATATTTCAGAGTATATCCTATCAGTCTCTCTCTCTCTCTCTCTCTCTCTCTCTATATATATATATATATATATATATATATATAATATGACATTTATATATGATCTTTATATATGATATTTATATATATCATGGTTAATGTAGATGGGCCATATAGTTTTGAATACTATTTTTTCACAAGATTTTATTTATTCATTCATGATAGTTAGAGAGATACAGAGAGGCAGAGACATAGGCAGAGGAAGAAGCAGGTTCCCTGTGGGGAACCCAATGCAGGACTCCATCTCAGGACCCCAGGATCACGCCCTGAGCCAAAGGCAGATGCTCCACCACTGAGCCATCCAGGTGTCTAAATACTATTTTTTCTAACTCTGCATTGTTTATCCGGGATTTCCCAAATGGGGCTTGGGGACAGGAGTCTATTGTGCCTTTGGGACTCTCTCCCGCCCATGCTGTAGTTTCTTAGCACAGGTTCTAGAACCACACACCTCTGAGGTAGAAACACTTAGAGGCAGCTCATTTCCCTCAGCCCTGTGTTTCACAGAAAAGAAAACTGAGGCCTGGAAAAGCAACTTGTCCCAGGTTGGTAGGTAGTTAGCACCAGAACCACACTCAGAATTTTGGCCCCTGGCCCAGGTAGGGGGTGTAGAAGCCTCTGTTTGCATTGGGTGCCCTTTGCCCATCTTTTGGAACTGACTCTACCTTCCATGGGCATCTTTCTCTGGTGCCCTGCACTGCCCTAGCCCTCCCACACTCACCCCCACCCCCACAGCCGCCCTGCTCTTGACCCAGTTTCTCCATCCAAACTCCCTTGGCTGTTTTCCCCTCATTGCATATCTCCTGTTGTCACAATGTTGCACAAGCAATTAATTTACAAAATGTTAGTTTACATTTTTAAAGTTTTTTTCTGTAATTATAAAAGTAACACATGCACCTGCAAGAAAATTTTGGAGGAAAAATTGCATAGCTACATCACCCAGAAATAATCATTGTTAAAATGTTGCACAATTACTAATAAATAAAACCAATCATTGAGGAACTGCTCTTTTTCTTAAAAAATATTTAATCATTCAGTAAGTATTTGTTGAGCACCTAATGCCAGGTAACGCTATGGGTTTAAGTATGTAGTTATTGATAAAATAGTTCAAATCCTTATCTTCAAGGAGCTACCTTCTAGTGGGGGAAGACAGATGATTAACATTTAAGTATAAGATAGGTTTGGTGGTGTCAAGTAGTGTGAAGAAAAGATGAAGCAGAGTAGGGGAGATGGACAGAATGGGGGTGTATTTTATATAGGGTGGATAGGAAGGCCTCCCTGAGAAATGACATTTGATCAGAGTCCAGAAGGGAGTGAGAGAGTAAGCCATTCATTTATGCATCCATCTATTCCACAAATATTTACTGAACATGTATCAGACACTGAGGATAGAGTAGAGAATAAAAGAAATATTCCACTCTGGGCCGCTAGTCCACTCCTTCATGGCTAATATGTGATCTGCTCCACCCAATGGCTTGAAGCCTGAATCGTTCAAAAGGTAACAGGAAGAGCTGCCCTTAACATTTTAATATGGACTTAAAATGCCTAAAATTAATCAATATCTACCTTCCTCTCAATAAGACTTGTTCAGCTTTCTCTACTCACTGTTTCCAACTTAAAGGTTTACCCTTATTTTTTAGTTTGTTATTGTTACTTTGCCAAAGTAATCATTACTACTAAAAAGGGGTTTACTTTTTTTTAACTCTTAAAACTTTTTATTTTGGGGCAGCCCGGATGGCTCAGTGTGGTTTAGCTCAACCTTCGGTCCAGGGCGTGATTCTGGAGTCCCAGGATCGAGTCCCACATCAGGCTCCCTGCATGGAGCCTGCTTCCCCCTCTGCCTGTGTCTCTGCCTCTCTCTCTCTCTGTGTCTCTATGAATAAATAAATAAATAAATACACCTTTAAAAAAAACTTTTTATTTTGAAATGACTTTGGACTTAAAGTTGCAAAGCGAAGCAGTAGAAACAATTCCCAAGTATTTCTCCAGGGTTAGTATCTAGGGTCTTTATGTTGTGATGGTGAAGCCAGGGCATTGGCATTGATACAGCTCTGTTCACGAACCACCAGCTCATTCAGGTTCCATGCAAAGTTCTGGTGCTGTCTCTCCCAGGAGAGGACTGCTCCAATCTCACGTGCTGTGCTCTGCTGCCACTTTTCTGCTCTCTTCTAGTCTGGAAAAAATAGTTTTGAGTAGTCATAATTTGTTTTCTCACCATTTTTTCTTGAATCTCACTATTTGCTTCTGGGTTCAGGTTTCTTTTTAAGCACTTGAAAAGTTCCTTAGTAAGGGTCTGTAGTGATTAATTCTGTCGTTGTCAGTGGATGATGTCTTTAATTGGCCTTTCTTTTTAGAGAATAACAGCTTTATTAAGATCTCATTCACATGCCCAAATTCACCCTTTCAAAATGTACAGTTCATTTACAGAGTTGTGCAACTAGCACCACTGCCTAATTTTAGAACATTTTCATCATCCCAGGAAGAAATCCTGTACCCATTAGCTGTCACCCCTCATTCCTCTCTCCCTCCAGGCCCTGGCAACCACTAACCTACTTCCTATCTCTATAGACTTGCCTATTCTGGACATGTCATATAAATGGAGTCATTCACTGTGTGTCCTTTTGTGTCTGACCTCTTTCACTTAACATAATATGCTCAAGGTTCACTCATACTAAAACATGTATAATACTTAAATTTTATGGTTGGATAATATTCCGTTGTGTCACATTTTGTTTACAGTTAGTGGACATTTGAGTTGTTTCCACTTTTTTGGCTATTAAATACAGTGCTGTTGTGAATATCTATATATAAGTTTCTGGGTGAACATATATCTTCAGTTCTCTTGGATATTTACTTCAGAGTAGAATTGTTGATAATACGGTGATTCTATGTTTAATTTTTTGAGGAATTGTTAAACTGTTTTCCACAACAGCTGTTTTACATTCCCAACCACAATGTATAAGGGTTCCACATCCACTGCTTATTTTTTTTTCTTTTAAATTCTCTATATAATTCTCTATATAATTTTCTCTCTCTCTCTCTAGATATATATATTAGATAGATAGTTAGATATAAATATAGATATAGATATAGATAGATATAGATCTTTCCTAGTGGGTAGGAGGTGGTATCTCATTTTTGCTAAGATTTTATTTATTTATTTGACAGAGAGAGAGAGAGTGAAACAGATCATGAGCAATGGCAAGAGGGAGAAGCAGACTCCTCACTGAGCAGGGAGCCAGTTATGGGGCTCAATCCCAAGACCCCAGGATCAGAACCCAAGTCAAAGACAGATGCTTGACTGGGTGAGCCACCCAGGCACCCCGGTATCTTGTTTTTAAAAACTATTTTACTTCTTTATTTGAGAGAGAGAGAGAGAAAAAAAAATCTCAAGCAGACTCCATGCTCAGCATGGAGGCTGATGCGGGACCTGACCCCAAGACCCTGCCATCAAGAGTAGGATGCTTAATGAACTGAGTCACCCAGGCGTCTTGTTGGTATCTCATTTTGTACGTTCTTTCTTGGGAGTCTGTTTTAACACAAACTGTAGCATATTATACACACACTATACGTTAGCTTTTCCACTTATTGTATTGTGGAGATCACGTCAGTCTGTGCAAAACCCTTTATTCTTTTGGCTGGCTTTATAGTAACCCACTGTATGATCATGCAGTCCTGGTACTGGTCACTCACTTAACCAGTTCCTATTAATAGGCTGCTCTGTTTCTTTCCAATCTTTAATATTACAAACAGTGCTGTAATGACTGCCTCTATATACTCCATTTTCTATATGCAGGAATTTGTCTGTAATGATCATTTCTAGATATGAAATTCTAGGTTAAAGGGCATATGCATTCTTTTGTTTTTATAGCTACTATGTAATTGATTTCCATAGAGAGTGTACCAATTTATACTCACCACCTTGGCAAAGACATGTTCTTTAAATGGACCCCAGATCATAAGACCAGATTTGTGAAGATATTATATTCTTAGTATGGTACTCCTGTGTGGGCTGACTATGGAAGCACTTTTTTTGAGGGGCTTGGGGTAAGGATATGGTTCATTAAGGAGCTTTCCTTGATTAGCAGTTCCCAAGGAGAAGATAGAACTTATAAAGGGTTTATCTTGAGGCCCTGTCTCTTTCTTTGGTAGAATAATGGGGACTCACTGAAGATGCGGGTAAGATCATTTATTTATGTATTTCTCCAATCAACAAATATTTATTGAAAGCCTACTGTGTGGTGCTAGGTGCTAGGATGAAATGAAGGCAAAATTAGACCAGATACTCCTTTCACTGATGTTTTCAGGCTTTTAAGGGGGAAGCAGACATTACTACAATCAAGGGTAAGGTAACTAACAGTGATGGAAATGTATGTCATGCTACTGCAGCCTGTAGCAAGGATCTGAGGGGTCAGCAAAGGGGTCTCAGAGGAAATATGGTTTTTGTTTTGTTTTAAAGATTTTATTTACTTATTTAAGAGAGAGAGAGAACAGCTGAGTCCCCCAGGCAGCCCACGGAAACATATTTGAATTGAGATATGAAGGATGAGTAAAAGACTAGCTGGTGTGGCTAACAAAGTGGGAAGGCACTCATACCTGCCACACAGGGTTGTTATGGGAGTTCAGTTAAATCATATTATGTAAGACATTCAACAAAATGCATGGCAGGTGCCAATTATTTGGAAAATGCTTACTTTGCTTCCAGTCTTCCACTCACTCATGGTGAATTTGTTAAACGATCCCCAAGCGGACCACTGCCACCCTAGCCATGCTCTTCCTTCATATTTCTCTCCCACCCAGTTCCCTCTCTTCCTCTATTTCGGGGCTCCCAAGCACTGCCGTATGTTCACAATAGTCTACCCTTGGAGCTAATCAGATTAGTAACCACCATTTACTTTGCCCTTAATCTATACTAAGTACGTTACATCCATTATTTAAACTTCCTAACAGTCTAACCTACTAAGGTTAGAACTATTCTTAAAAAAGTTTTTATTTACTTATTCACGAGAGACACACAGAGAGATACAGATACAGAGAGAGAGGCAGAGATACAGGCAGAAGGAACAGCAGGCTCCCTGTCAGGAGCCCAACGTGGGACAGGATCCTGGGACTCAGGGATCATGAAGGCAGACGTTCAACCACTGAGCCACCCAAGTATCTCATTACTCCCATTTTATAAAGGAAGAAACTGAGGCAAGCAGAGCCCAAGGACAATAGGTTGTAAATTGCAGAGCAGGACTCATGCTCAAGTCTATTTTTTTTTTAATTTAAAGGATTTATTTATTTTTAAAGATTTTATTTACTCATTTGACAGAGTGTGAGAGAGCACAAGCAGTGGGGAGCTGCAGAGGCAGAGAGAGCCCCATGCTGCGCTCAATCCCAGGACCCGTGGATCATGATCCAAGTCCAATTCATTTTTAACCATGACCCCTATAGTGCCTTGGGTTGGCAGTTATCTTTTGCAGGTCTTATTTATCCAACTAGATAACAACCTGATTTAAGATAAGAATTTGCCCCTAGGGGCAACTGGGTGATTCAGTTGGTTCAGAATGTGACTCTTGATCTCAGGTTTGTAAATTCCAGCCCTGCACTGGACATAGAGAATACTTAAAAAAAATTATATATATATATATATATATATATACACACACACATATACATACACATTCAAGTGGTTTAGTAAAAAATAGCCACTCCTTTTTTTTTTTATGATAGTCACACAGAGAGAGAGAGAGAGGCAGAGAGAGAGAAGCAGGCTCCATGCACTGGGAGCCCGACGTGGGATTCAATCCCTGGTCTCCAGGATCGCGCCCTGGGCCAAAGGCAGGCGCCAAACCGCTGCGCCACCCAGGGATCCCAATAATAGCCACTCCTTATGGAGCATCTCCTATTTATCTATATATTATTTCCCCCATTTTATAGATTAGGAAACTAAGGCTCCAATAGATTAATTAACTTGGCCAAGGTGATGGAGATGGGACAAGAGTCCCGATTTAGAGATGCCCAGTTCCTATCCAAAGATGACAGCCAATAATATTCATACCTGGTACAAGGGAAGCACAGGACTACATTCACCTAAACCCTGGTTAACTTCAGCTGGTAGGACATTCAGGCAATGACAGTGACTATGGGGAAAGAAGGAATTGTTGAGAGGTGCCCATGTCTTACTTCTAGCTGTGTAAACATAAAAATTGAGAGCTCACAATAAGCAGAGCCCAAAGGATTATTGTGGAATTCCTGGATTCACGTGCCAAACATAAGCTACTATGACCAAAGCCCCTCTTTGGGAGTTTTGTAATGGATAATACAGATAATGTTAACACTCGTGGAATGTTTTCTTTGTGCTTTACAAGGATGAATTCATTTAACTTCCAGTTAAGGGCTGCTATTATTCTCATTTAACATCTGAGGAAACTGAAGTACAGCAAGGTTAAAGAATTTGCCCAAAGCACCCAACTAGCAAGTTGGGACATCTGGCAGTGTGATTTCAGAGCTCTAGCGTCTCCTCACAACAGTGCAAGAGTTGCTGAGTCCAGCACAAAAACAGTCAAAACTCTAAGGAAAGACCAAAAATTCCTGCGGTCTAAGTAGAGAAGTTAGTTTATAAGTAAGTGCCTGCCTGCCTGCCAGCACGTCTCCATCCCCAACTTTCTCCTTTTCCAACTCACTCCTCCCAGAAAACAAGACCACAAGCACAGAAAGTAGGGGAAAGGTCGCAGTTGGGATTTGGCTCCTCCCTTCCTGCTCATTTGTTCGTTCATCCTTTTTTGCAAAATCGCAGAGCCTATGCAGAAGGCTCCGGGTTCTTTCTTACGCATCCAGCCCCCGCACTTGCCCCTGGCACATGGGACGGCCAGTCCCACAGCTCTGTGGCCCTGCTTAGAGTCACCTTCCCCCCGCGCTGTGGCCAAACTGCCATCCCCAGGAGGAAAGCCGTGAAACCACTGACAGCCCTTCAGTGTGGAGGCTCTTCCCAGGGGCCTTCCTGGCGTCTCCCTAGGACTCTTATTTTCTGAGATCTGCTCTCACAGCAGAAGGTCTACATTTCTCCGGTTTCCTGGGGGGTGGGATTGGGGGGTGGAGAGGTGCTTTGTAAGGTTTCTCAGCCCGCAGATCTGGGGATGAGGCTGGATTGTCACCTCCTAGCTCTTTGTTTCAATCTGAAAGTACCTTTAAAAAATTATCTAGTGGGGGTTCCTGAGTGGCGCAGTACATTGTGTGTCTGCCTTAGGCTCAGGTCCATGATCCCAGGGTTCCTGGCATCTGGCTCCCTGGTCCCTGCCCAGCGGGGCGTCTGCCTCTCCCCCAGCTCATGCTCTCTTCTCTCTCTCAAATAAATAAATAAATAAAATCTTTAAAACTGAGGCCCAGTGAGTACAAAGTGACTTGTCCGTGTGCATTCAGGCACAGACGCCAGGGCCAGCTGAGTATTTCACATTTTCTCACATATGACAGACATTCCTGGAGAGCGGAACTTAATACGTTGTAAAAGGGCCTCTCATCATTCCAGTGTATCGACGGTAAACTAAATGTCAGGGTCTGGAATGGTTGAGGAATCTCAGTTCTCCTAGAAAGTGAAAGTCAGCTCTACAGTCGCTGGAATTTAAATACTAGGAGTAGGGGTAGGGGCGGGACCTGCTGCCTTCCGGCGATCCGTGCTTTGCCGAGTGTCTGGGGAAGACGCGGGTCTCACCCGTCCGCCCCGCCCCGCCCCGCCCCGAGGGCCTCTGGGTCTGGGCACTCCAGGTATGTCTTCCAGTCCACCTGGTACGGGCGTAAATGGGCTGATTCCCTCCGGCTTCCTGCAGCAGGAAAAAGGCAGTCTGAGTTCACACGCACGCAGTCCCACTGCCGACCTCAGTGACTCACAGACCCCAGGCGGACGCTTTCTGAAACCCGTCGGACGGGAAGCGCGGCGCGCGGGCCCGGGGCGGGGGCGGGGCCACGGACGTGCGTCGGGGCCGGTGCGTGCGGCCCGAGTGCGCGTGCGCGGGCTCGGGGCGGGGCCGCGGCTATAAGTGGGCGGCGTGGGCAGCCTCGCTCAGCTTCGCGCCTACGGCTGCGCCTTTGCGTCGGAGAGTCGTCTGGGCTGCGCGCTGCGCTTTGGCGCTCTCGGGACGTGACTTGCCTGCGGACTCCTGCGAGACCCGCTGTCTGGGCGAGCGGGCCCTCCTGGCCCTTCCTCCTGGAGGTGAGCGGCCCTGTGGGCTTCCCCGGCTTTCCGCCCCGCGCCCCCGGCTGCACTCGTCCTCCCTCCGCCTCCACCTGGGTGCGGAGTCAGCCGCTCCGGCCTTGGCTTCAGAGATGGCCTTGCGTTCCATGTGTCTCTCTTCGTGCTCTCTAGCGCCAGGGTAGGCGTCCCCGTCCGGCCCTGGTCCCACAGCACCCTTGTTAGCACTTGGCGTGTTGTGTGGGTGCTCGCTGCCTAATTTCTTGCCTAGATTGTAGGGCCCTTGAGGGCAGGGTTCATGACTACCGGGCCCCGTGCGGTACCTTCCAGGGTGCCTAACACGTTGTAGGTATCCAGGGTGTGTTTGTTGAATAAGTGAACTTGATAGATGTGACTGTCTTGTAATTATTTTGGCTTTACCAAAAAGTTGATGATTAACTGGAACCTGACTGAGGTGTGAGGAGAACCCCTAGGCAGATTGCTTTCTCCTATCCTTAACCCCCCCCCCCAAAAAAAAAGACTCCTTTCGGGAAGATTTTTGGTCCCTAGACTGTGGCATAGGGGTTGTGCATTGCACCTGGCAGGAGAAATAAAAGGTTTTACTTTAGGAGAAGTAAAAGTTTTAAGGAGTGCTCTTGAATTAGTCCAAGAAGCAAGGCTAGCTCTGCAGCCATGGAGTCTACAGCATAACTATGCTTGGAGATTCTGTTGCAGAGAACATCTACTGGTCCCTGTCTCTTTGACGGGCTAAGCCTCACTCTTAGCTCCACAGGAAGACAGAGGTCAGGACTAGATACATGCGTATCCCAAAAGGCTGTCGATTAATCTCATCTCTCTTTCCTCAGTATCCAGAGGCCTTCAAGAAGTGACCGCTCTACCGCTCTACAGAGAAGTGGAGTCCTTTCAGCCATGAAGCCTATGTTGAACCTCTATCTCTTAGGTGTGGTGCTGACCCTGCTCTCCATCTTCGTTAGACTGATGGAGTCCCTGGGAGGCATACTGGAGAGCCCATTGCTGGGGAGCTCTTGGACCACCAGAGGTCATCCAGCCAGTGCAGAGCCCCCAAGGGCATTCCAGACCATCCATCCAGAGAGGTGTGATAAGACCTCCCTCCACCAGTTATAACCTTGGACCACTGGCCTAAACAGATCCAGGCAGGTGTCCAGTTCCTGGGCAGGCAAGCTCAGAACATCAGTGTTACCAGAACAAACTGTTACCAGGCCCTTGAAGGGCTTCTCCATCTGGATGCTCCTTGCCCTGGAAAAAGAGCCTGTCTAATATACCGGTGTGAGTGGGTTGCCTATAACTGCGATGGAATGATGTCACTGCTCTCCCCAGGGTCTGCTGTATACATTCTGGTGTCCTTTGCACCATCGCTCTGATGTCTCTTAGGGGCTTGTGCTTCATGTTCAGCCGTTGGGAGATGGTGTGATTTTCATCCCTGCTTTGTTAGCTTTTTCCAAGAGTTCCTTTGGGTTTGGGTGTTATGGTCAGTTTATGTGGTGTTCAGCTTCTCTTCCATGAGACCTTGTCTGTGTGTGGACAGCAGTTGAAGTGGTGTATGAGTTGGCATAGGGAGGGGGATGATGAAATAGTCAGTGTCCACCTCTCATTGTTTCATATAGTAAAGTCCTTTCTCTAACAAAGCATGTATGCATGTATATTGGTCTGAAGGGGGCAGTGGGATGACAAAGCCTGCTCAAGAATGGCATTATGGCCACCATGTGGCTTAAATTAATTTTTCTAATGAAATAAAAGTTGAATATATATTTCTATGTGTCATGTTGACTTCTGCCCTTGAAGTTAATGGTAGGGAAGGGTCTTCATTCCTAGATTTGGGGTTTGACATCTTAAAAACTCCGGAGGAGAAAAAGTACTTAGTACTTAGAATACTTTGCTTAAAACATAATGTAGGGGTGCCTGGGTGGCTCAGTGGTTGAGCATCTGCCTTATGCTCAGATCATGATCCCAGGGTTCTGGGATCGAGTCCCACATCGGGCTCCCTGCAGGGACCTGCTTCCTTCTCTGCCTGTGTCTTTGCCTCTCTCTCTGTGTCTCTCACGAATAAATAAAATCTAAAAAATAAAAAATTTTATTAAATTAAAAAAAAAAGCATCTCAGGGTTGTGAGTTCAAGGCCCTCGTTGAGCTCCACACTGAGCATAGAACCTACTTAGAAAACCATAAAACAATGTAAATAGACCTGAATTCAGAGGCAAGGGCAGTTGGGTCTGCCCTGTATCAACCAGTTTTCTGAGCCTAGACCAAGAATATTCTAGTCTTCTCTTGATTCTCCATTTCTAAAGAAAAATGATTTCTTCTAGCACCCTCACCTTCAGTCTCTGGGGGAAAGAGGACTATCAGTCCAGTAGGCTTTGTATTTTTCCTCCTGTGCTGCTGTTATCCATAGGAATAAGGGCTCAATTTTGATCTCTAGGTCAGCTGGTTAAACGTCCACACTTCACAGACAATTGTTTCTGCTCACTCCTGGATCTATACAGCTTGGTCTTTACACAGAAATGGAGGGATTTGGGTGGGTTTTTTTTTCTTGCCCTTATCCACTACATCTGCTGCTCCATGTTCAAGTGCATTCATTCACTCCTCTGCCCATGGTAATATATCCATTCACACTCTCTTGACGTTTGTCATTTCATGTATGGTGAGTTTGATTTACTTTTGCCAAAGAGTAAGAAAGGAGTATGGTGCCTCTGCTAACCCACTTTTGCTTCCTGAGGCGTTCTTGAGCTTAAATGCCTCTACTCCAGAAGCCAGTGGTTTGGGCATCACTTCTGTTTATTGTACTATGGTAGTCATTAGTGCTGTTTAGCAAGAATTTCCAGCTTCCCACCCATGGGCACATGGTACCGTCCTCCTCCATGATCCTTAGTGGATAGCTGGGGTTATGTGGCTCACCTCTCAGTAGCAGAGTACAAATAAAAAATATAGCTGACTTTTTTTTTTTTTTGGTCTCAGATTTCAGGCACTGACACATGCCAGTAGCTATCCTAAACATATTAAATTTGATGTATTTTCTCATTCTCATACCTTCAACTCATTTGGGGTGTTTTTAAGTGGGAGAGCTGCCCATGAAAGTCACTTCCCCAAGCAGTTTAATTGAAATGGTTTATAGAGTGCCACAACCTCTGTGAAGTCTTCACTCTATGACAACTTAATCTACTTGGAGATTTTAACAACAGATGTGATGGCCATACCCCTGTTTTAATCTTTCCCATGAATAGGGTGACCTGCTGTCTCTGTTTGCCTGGCAGAGGGATTTTTCTGGGATGTAGTACTTTAAGGGTTAAAACTAGGACAGGTCTGGGTAAACCAAGATAGCCCATCAGTCATCCTGCCTACACAGCTGAGTTTGAAATAGCATTTGTCATTGTAAACATTTCTCAGTTTTATCTGTTAACTGTTAGGGATGAGAAATAGTTGTTGCTGTGAACCCTGCAAGCCCTCTGATTTCTGTAATCTCTTTACAGCCCTTTTATCTACTTGCAGGCTGGCCAGTTCAGTTCTTGTCTGAGCTAATCTTGTGCTTTGTCAGTGGTAACCAATAGTATCCAATTCAGGCTGCTAACATACGGTTCTAGACTTTCCCTTACTTCTTAGATTAGATCAGGTATGTCTTCTCAGTTACTGCAGGCAACAGTTTTACCAATACTTTGCTACTGTATAACATGAGTTGCTGGCTTCCCAACTTTCAATAAGATCACTTTGCTGCCCTCCAAGTAAGTAAATGTCACACATACTAAAGTTTGTTGTTTCAAATATGCAACACGCCCTTCTATAGTCCTGTCTCCTTTATCAGTCTAGGGCGGGTTAGGTTAGGTTAGGTTAGGTTATGCTGCAGCAACAACTCTGAATTCTCAGTAGCATAAAGCAGAACAGTTGCCTAAGGCTGTGTTCCCAGGAAGCAGAATTGGGGCCTAATCAGAAACTATTCCCTTTCCCTGGGGTAAGGGACCTTCACTGCTTCTGCTCAGTGGCACATTATGATCACTAGGCTGCTATGTTTCCTATTCCTCCTCCTCCCTTAGTGCATTCATCTTGTCCCTGTTCCACCAATATTTATTAAATGTGAGGGGGCTTATCTTTTTAATTTATAGGTCTCCATCTCAAGCCACATCAGAAACTGGTGTAGAGATTATTGTGCATCACTCAGAGATTCTTGAATTTGAACTTGATGTTGTAGCTGAAGGGAATTACTGGGTTGTCTTCTTTGGGGAGGTATGGTGAATGTATATCACCTGCAGGAGGGATAGTGCGCTGAATGATTATTGACCAGAAGAGTCACTAGTGGTTGTCATTAACGGTCTTCAAATACTTCTGCCCTTGCCTTTCAAGCATACGATAGAAGTGCACTTCGGGACACCTTTGTGGTTGGACAAGGCCATGAATTAGTTTTGGCCGATGAGTTGTGAGTAGAAGTGACTTGTGTCAATTCTAGATCAGAACACTTAACCACTAGTTCAAAAACTTTAACCTTACCTCATCCACTACAGTAACCAGCAGTGGTCCAAATGAAACTGCTCCATTAACGTAGGTCCCGGAGTGAGGATACCATGGAGAGGAGCCCTTTACAATACCTGATGAACATGTAGTGTAAATAAAAAATAAACCTCTATTGTGTTAAGCTACTGCAGCATAACTTGGCCTATCCCGACTGATAAACTGCCTTCAGCACCTGCTGGCTATTGCGCATAGACTAAGATTCATTACTACCTACCTCCAATAACATGCATAAACAGTAGCAGGGCGGGGGGAAGAAACATGTAAACCAATAATGTTTCATGGTTCTGTGATAGGAGCATGTATGGGACGTGGGTACATAAAGTTACCTACTGGCCGGAGGCAGATATTAAAAGGAAAAGCTTTTAGAGCATCTGAATTTTAAGAAATGAATAGGTAGCCACGTTTAGAAACTTTTCCTTCTAGAGGGAACTGTGAGCAAGGACAGGAGGGGAGCTTAAGCACAGCATATTTAGAAAGTTGGAAGTAGAAATCCTATCTCATTAGCTTGAGGCCTTAGCTCTAGTGCCATCTACTGGAGTCTAAGGAAGAAGGAAACAGTAACTATAGGCTGTGTAATGCTTTCCAGATTTAAGGACTCTGCCTCTAAAGTTAATGATAGATACCAGAATATTAAGGCTGGAAGATAGGCTCTAGTCTAACAGTGCCCAATAAATATATAATGCAAGCCACATACTTAATTTAATTTTTTTCTAGTGGTTACACAAAAAAGAAACAAAAATATATTTTATATTTTATTTTTTTAATTTTTTTTTATGATAGTCACAGAGAGAGAGAGAGAGAGAGAGAGGCGCAGAGACATAGGCAGAGGGAGAAGCAGGCTCCATGCACCGGGAGCCTGATGTAGGATTCGATCCTGGGTCTGCAGGATCGCGCCCTGGGCCAAAGGCAGGCGCCAAACCGCTGCGCCACCCAGGGATCCCAAGAAACAAAAATATATTTTAAACACATTTAACCTGGGGATCCCTGGGTGGCGCAGCAGTTTCGCGCCTGCCTTTGGCCCAAGGCGCTATCCTGGAGTCCTGGGATCAAGTCCCGCGTCAGGCTCCCGGCATGGAGCCTGCTTCTCCCTCTGCCTGTGTCTCTGCCTCTTTCTCTCTCTATGTCTATCATAAATAAATAAAAATAAATCTTTAAATTAAAAAATAAATAAATAAACACATTTAACCTAATGTACTAAAAATACTATCTCTGCATGTAATCAACCTAAGAAGTTATTTATGAGATCAATATTTTACTTTTTTTTTTGGTACTAAGTATGTATTTTTATTGGTATTTTATACTTAGAACATACCTCATTTGGGACGCCTAGGTGGCTCATGGTTGAGCAGCTGCCTTTGGTTCAGGACATGATCTCAGAGTCCCAGGAACAAGTCCCAGGATTGAGTCCCACATCAAGCCTACTTCTTCCTCTGCCTATGTCTCTGCCTCTCTCTGTGTGTCTCTCATAAATAAATAATAAAGTCTTTTTTTTAAAAAAAATATCTCATTTGGATTAACCACATCTCAGGTGCTCAGTAGTCACATGTGGCTAGTGGCCACTGTATTGCACACATAGATCTTTTCATTTTACTACAGAGGAAACAGAAGAAAGGTAAGTAACTTAGATAATATCATTGAATTAATGGGTGCTCGATTGCTAGTCTACAGCTCTTTTTTCTACAACGTGATTTTTTTTTTTCCAAGGACCACTTCAAAAGGCAGGATAGCAAAATAGTTCAATAATGTGCTTTTTCACTCCCAGGTTATTCTTGTGTGGACATGTAAGATTTTTTTCTTAAGAAAACCTATTGTAACAAATCAAAATTATGAAATGATTGTGACTTACAATATTTACACCCTGCTTTGCCCTTAGACCATCAAATCCCTTGATATTTTCCAAATATTTTTTCTTTTTAAAAAGATTTTATTTATTTGAGAGGGAGAGCATGAGAGAGCATGAGTTGGGGCAAGTGCAGAAGGGCAGAAGGAGAGGGAGAAGCAGACACCCCTCCGAGCAGAGAGCCCAAATGGGGCTAGATCCCAGGACCCTGAGATCAGGACCTGACCTGAAGGTGGATGCTTAACCAACTGAGCAACCCAGGTGTTCCTCCAAATATTTTTCTTTCATTAATTTCATTGGCTTCTAATTTCATTGATTATGGTCAGGGAACATACCCCATATCACTGAGACTTGTTTTATGGCTCAGCGCATGGTGTATCTTGGTGAATATTCCATGTGCATTTGAAAAGAA